TGGATTCTGCAACAACTACGGGGAAGGAGGATGGATTCTGCAACAACAGCGGGGCTGCTGGAACTGGCTCTTTATTGATGCGATGATATTGTTAAAGGGGGTTGGGGCACACATAGGTGGTAATTAGGACTTAGGTTAAAACATGGTGAAGGTGGCACCAGGTGGGGATCACTTAGTAAGAGTTGAGAGTTGGAACTTGGAAGAGACCTTAAGAGGTCTTCTAGTCGAACCCCTGCTCAAGCAGGAGGCCCTATACCATTTGAGACAAAGGGTCGTACAATCTCCTCTTAAAAACCTCCAGTGATGGAGCAGCTACAGCTTCTAGTGGCAAGCTGTTCCACTGGTTAATTGTCCTCCCTGTTAGGAAATTCCTCCTGAGTTCTAGGTCGCTTCTCTCCTTGATTAGTTTCCATCCGTTGCTTCTTGTCCTGCCTTCTGGGGCTTTCGAGAATAGACTGACTCCCTCTTCTTTGGGGCAGCCCCTCAAATATTGGAAGAGGGACATCATTTCACCCCTAATCCTCCTCTTCTTTAGACTGGACATACCTAGTTCCTTCAATCGTTCTTCATACAATTTAGCCTCCAGCCCCCTAATCATCGTTGTTGCTCTTCTCTGCACTCGTTCTTGAGTTTCAGTGTCTTTTTTTGCGTGTATCGTGGTGACCATAACTGGACACGGTCCACCAATTACATTAATTTGGGGAGTTCTGCAGGGAGGTTTGTGGTGTGGGTCAAAATCTGCGGGCGTGGCTTTGAGACAGAGGCCCCACCCACTGATGGTTACACCTGAACAAAAGGAAGGAGGCTTAAATCCTGGCCCCACGGTGCTATTTTGCAGATTTGAGCCAAGGCCAGGGAGGGTCTCCAAATGTGGTGATTTTAAGACTTGTGGACTTCAACTCCCAGAATTCCCCAGCCAGTTACCTGTACAGGTTTCATGAAGAATACATGGTACGTGTAGGAGGGAGCCCAAGAGAACTTCTGAAAAATGTAGCTTTGAAGGGCTTCTGAAATTCTATTTCCGCCCCGCTCCCAGCACTTCTCGATATGGGCCAGCAGGAATCGAATCTCCTGGGGAAAGATTGTGAAAGCATGGGGGGTGGGGGGAATAAGGTCTCCCCCCTCCCCCTAACATCCTGGATTGTGGATTTGGGAACAATTGTGGTTTAGAAGCAGCCAAGCCAGGACAGAAGCAGCTAAACACCTGTAAAAGAGAGACTTCTGACCTTGTTCTGCTAAGCAAACTTTGGGCTTTGGAGAGAGAGAAAGAGAGATGGAGAGACAGAAAGAGAGAGAGAGAGAGAGACAGAGAGACAGAGAGACAGACTGAGAGACAGAGACACACACACAGAGAGAGAGACAGACAGAGACAGAGTTGGAGGGACAGAGAGAGACAGAGACAGAGAGACAGAAAGAGAGAGAAAGACAGACAGAGAGACTGAGAGACAGAAAGAGAGAGAGAGAGAGAGACAGAGAGACAGAGAGACAGACTGAGAGACAGAGACACACACACACACACGGAGACAGACAGAGACAGAGTTGGAAGGACAGAGAGAGACAGAGACAGAGAGACAGAAAGAGAGAGAAAGACAGACAGAGAGATTGAGAGACAGAAAGAGAGAGAGAGA